AGCAAGCGGGCCTGACCTAGGGAGGATTTTATGTAGGGATGATTTTAAGTATATTTTAATAGAAATACAGCTTTCAATATTTGGTTTTAATTTGGTTTTATCGGGGTATTTATCTTTGTATTGTATATGTATCTGTTTTAACATGCTGTGCACCGCCCTGAGTCCTGCGGGAGAAGGGCGGTATATAAATTAAATAAAATAAATAAATAAATAAATCTCATAGTCTGTAGCAAATTTGCTCTCGCTACTTCGCGCGACCGCAACTCTTAACGATAAGAATTACACGATAAACCTTAAGATTTTGCAGCTGTTCAAACCCTCCGCGCGGAAACTTTTGCTTGTTCAAGTTTTTTCCCCCAAAGCAGAAGCATAAAAAGAAAACAAAGGGGGGAAAACGGTTTCTAACCTTTTCCAAGCGGTTTTTCAGCTGCAGCCGCAACGAACCAGTGGCAAAAGGAAGAAAAAAGGAGAGGGGACAGCGATGCGAGATGAACTCTCATGGTGGCAGCACGACTCCTCTCGGGGGTTGAGTCGCCGGTCAGCTTCGCCGAGCAATCTGATCAACCCAAGTCAGCCCTCTCGTGACAAAGGAAGTGATGTTAATGGGGCGGATCTGGGAGGGATTTGTTCGATGTGAGTCCGGGGTAAATTTGAAGGAAACAGAAAGAGCGTTCTCCAGCTCTTTAGTGGATGATTCAACCTATATAACTCTTTCTCAAGAATTTTTTTTTTGGGCGGAGGTGGGGGGGGGGAAGGATCGGAATATCATCTGAGCTGTTTGTTCCTTTGAATGGAATCCAAACTCGAATCAAGGGCTCAAGAAGGGCAGCAACTAGATTTAAGTTATGTGAAACTATTCGGGAAAATATGACTTGAGCCCGTTCTGCACTAATTGGAAGCGCTACCTAACCCGTGTCGTATTATGTTCGGTGGGATTTACGTTCCTACTTGCCTACTGAGTAGGGCTTTACTCTCGCGCATGGGGGATAGGAAGGAAGAAATGTTGCACTGCCGCTTTCAAATGCTTAAACTGAAATTTTATTCGTTTGCGTGAAAGAGTGATCTCAAAGAACGGCGATCCCGCTTCCACGGAAGCAGTTCGTGCGAACAGCTCCAGCACCTTAAAAACAAAGCGACGGAGTCCCGTTGGCTATGCCTAAGGAAAACCACAACTCCCAGCATCCATCGCTGTAAAAGTATTTTCTTCCCCTTTTTTTCCCAGTGGTCGTGCATAGCCGAGAGCCTTTTGCACTTGCCCGAAGCCGGAGCCATGGAAGGGCGGGCCTGCCGGCGCCCATTTTATACACCCGACTCATTTTGTCCGCCAATTGGATGAGAGGGGCGGGGCCATGGTCCCGTGGTTCCAGGCCTTCTTGGTCCAGACCCCTCTCTCCCCCTCACCTCTCCGCCATCTTGTTGTTGCCGCGTGTTGCTTTTGGAAGGCTCGTCGGACTGAGGTGAAAACTTCCTGCTTGACCCTCTGATGCTCTTGCGCCCCTCACGACCCCCGCAAGTCGAGCCGGTGGTTGCTTGGCCGGCGCGCAGAGCGCCATGGACGGTGGGAGGGGTTGCTGGTGGGCCGAGGAGCGAGGGGGAGGAGAGTGGGCCTGGCAAATAGTCGCCTCCGGGAAGCCCGGGTTACCTTGGTACGCCTTGGTTGGCTTGTTTCGCATTTCGGGGCCTTTTGCCTGACCGCTCGCGCTTTCCCTTTGACGGGGTTGGTTTATGTGCTTCCGGTCGTGTGAATGCACCTTTCTGCCGACAGCCCGAGACTAGCGAGGTGTCTCGTGGACCTTTCGCAGGCTCCACCTCTTCTTTCTAAAGCACAACAGTGGTGTTTCTTCTACCCCTAAGTGAATGAGTTATTTTTTTTCGGGCCCATCATCTCTCACCTTACTGCAAAGTCGCACCTCATTCTCCTTCCTTGAAGGAGAAGTCTTCCCCTGGATTCCCTCCAGCCCTTCCCTCCGGATTGAATGCTTCGGTCCAGCAATTTTAACACCGGGAGCTTCCCTCGTTGGGCTGGGAGAGGGAGTTTCGTCAGGCCACTTTTGCCCGCTTTGAGCTCTGGAGTTGTTAGTATGCAGCTTTGTAACACGCTATATATATGCTTTCACGTGTCTCTAGTTTTCTCCTCATCGCTACTCCTATTTCTAATTTTGTACGACTTGGTCTTTACTGGCTTTTCTCAGTGGTTTTTTTCCCTTTGCATTATATCTGTGTATTGCAAAATTGTTTTTTCTATTTTTTACAAATTGAGATCGTAGTAGAAAAAGAGGTTATTAAGTAAGGCTAATTATTGTTGTGAGTAATATCAATCTTTATGTCATGACTAGGATAATTAGCCATCAAATCAGCAATTACATTTCTTTGACATGCCAGGTTCCAAAGCAGAGAGGATCTTAGCCTTCTTAATAGATGTCTATTTTGCAGGAAGAATATATTATATCCCCCCTCAAGTACTTTCTGTGCTTGTTTCACCTACTTTGGTTACAGACGTGCCCCTGGTTCAATTAAATATTAAAATAAAACCTGTTCCAATACAATACACCTTCCTATTCCGTAATGTGAGCAAATTTGTATTTTCAAGATTGATGATCACTGACAAAGGAAATTATTTTTCCTGTTTCCGAGAACATTTTTTTCTCACTGTCTTGAGTTGGGGTTTAATTTTGTAGGGTCCTTTTCTGTTTCCCCTTCTAATACATTCTCATTTTCAATTTACAGATATTGCAGTTCTGCAAAGATTTATGTCAGTTATTACCTTAGAGTTCTATATAGGTCTGGTGGAATATGACAATTTGTTAATACTATAATGAGAAAAATGCACCCTAGGGTTTAACTTGCTGGAGCTTCACGTGCTCTGCTACCGTAGGCACAGAACAGCATGGTTAACATTAAAGGGCATATCACTGCTAATACAAAAGAAAAATCTAAACTATAACTAATGTTAGGATGATTTGATTGATGATTATGTGCAGAAATTGGTTATTTTTTTGGCTTGTTGGAACAATGCTGGGAAATAATGCAAGTGGTAGAACTACAGGAGATTCTAAGAGTTTGCACAGATAGAGCATGAAAACAAATGTCAACAAATGTATTATATATAACATGGGGAAATGTAATAGATATATATTTTATCATTCAGTGTATTTTTTTGTAATGTACTGTATGCCTTCACATAATCATTAAACATAAAGAGTTAACAATTTATAAAAACAGTTAAGTCAGTAATTTTGAAAAGGTTAGATTGTAGAGGAAGGCTCTATGCTATTGACCTATAAATGACTCTCAGGAGAGCATCTTTAAAAAGACTTCCCTTGATGTTAATATTTGTTCATATTTATTTCAGATAAACACCCCTCCACATAATCAAAAGTAAAATGCTGACATTGACACGCTTATGATACACTTATACGTAAACATAGTTTTATAGAAAATAAAACTATTATTTATAGAAACTATTTATAGAAAACTGGCTGTGTTTGATGGTTTTTTTGTATTTTTAGAATTGTAGAATTATAGTTCTACACATACTTCCTCAAACCCACCTAAATTTTGTTAGAATTCTACTACAGAGTGAATCAACTTGTGAATTATATATTCATATTTCCCATCTATTGAAGGTAGCCCTCATGTAGCTGTAGACAAATGAATATTTCTTATAAGTTTTGTACCATAGGGGATTATGAGCCTTAAAATGCTGTTCTAAAATTCATAGTGAAAAGATAAAATACCAATGTAACTAAGTTGTATTTACATTGACTTTGCCATACTCTGATCATATGCTTTTCTATTTCTTTAATATTGTAGCAGGATCAAGGAATGATTTAGAATTATCTGGACGTATGTGGATAAAGGTGGATTTAATTCTCACTAGCTTCCATTTTTATGTGATAGATTTCTACTGTTGAGTTGCCCAACCTTTCTGGCTTTGTGGACTGGTGGGGGAGGAGATGATTCTGAGCAAGCGGCAGGGAAACATGCATGTGCACATGTGCAGCTCCAGTTGTGCAAGCCTGGAGCACTTAGTACACATTCACCTGCTGCTCATGGAAGTGGGGATGTGCGCGGGCATGCTCACCCGCCATTTCTGTGGCCTGGTTCCGAATGGCTCAAAGCCTGGTAGTGAGCCGTGGCCTGGGATTTGGGACCTCTGTTCTACTGCATTGAGGAAGAGGAAAAACTTTTCTTTTGCTTAAAATAATAAATATCATAGGGTACATATTCTCCCTAGTGCCTTTATTTTATATCAGTGAATATGTGCTATTCACTTCATAGATAAAACAAACATTGATATTAAGATCAGCGTGTCAGGGCAAAACCAGTTATAATTAGGAGTGAAGGTGGAGTGTGCAACTTCCTTTTCCCCTTTCTGATAAAATAAATTGGGTTCAGGAATAAGTATGGATTTATTTTTTGTAAGTTGCTGATATTTTATGATATTAAAATATATAAAGTTGATGTTTTGAAAGACAATTATTTAAAAATGAATTCTGGATTTGTCATAAGTCTAGCTAGTATATTTATTTTTCAGATAAAGCAAGATGAATCAAGAAAAACTGGCTAAACTTCAGGCTCAGGTCCGAATAGGTGGAAAGGTATGAATAGTGAATATAGGAACATTCTAGAATGTATAATTACTGCATATATTTGTGTAGGTAGATACACATATAGGTGCAAAATATTAATATAATGGAGACTTGTTCCACAATTCTATTTTCCACAGGCTGTTGTCCATTCTGATCTATTCAGCAGTTATAGACATATTAATCCGGACTTACTTTTTCCTTTTTTTGGAAGAAACATGCAAGTTGCTTTTGAATGTTATTATCTAAAAGCAGAACTGATTTTCTCATTGAAATATCCAGTTCTATATATTAAAACCAATAGATGCTATGTTTCCTAAACATAGCAGTTTAGTGGCAGTTTTTGCTGACGTGAGATAGAAAAGAGATTGTATGATCTCAAGTTTAATGGAAAAGCAACAAAAACAGTGTCTGCCCCTGTAAATAGAATTACCTAGGGATATGAGGACTGCACACAGACCACATATACATGCATTTAACATATGACCACATACTGTAATAATAGGGATGCTTTGGCAAAATAGAAATAAATTAGAATTTTCAACTGAGTTGGATAAAAGTCTTTTGAAATAGGTTCCTGCCTACAAAATCTAATGCTGAGAGGCATTTTATTGTAGTTGCAAGTCCTTTTTGATTAAAAAAAGTTTATAAATAATTTTTAATGTAAGTAGATATGAAAAGTTTTGAAACAATTCATGTATGTATATTTTGTGTCTCAGGGTACAGCTCGTAGAAAGAAGAAGGTAGTCCACAGAACAGCAACAGCTGATGATAAAAAACTTCAGAGTTCACTCAAAAAATTGGCAGTAAACAATATTGCTGGCATTGAAGAGGTACATCAATATTAATATTTTAAGTTGTATTTGAATGCTTTTCATAATCTTCATAATTGTAATGCTTCTGTACTCATAGAGATTATGAAACAGTTGAAGATAGTCTGTAGTCTAATACAGGTTGTTGAGAGATTCATTTCTGAAATGCAACATTGTTTTAAATCTGGGAGAGAGGGA